CCTTCTGGTCCTCAGAGACGAGGCATTTATGTCAGTTCCAGCTCAGGGTACTCTGGTTCCTGATGAAGTATGTTGTGTCTTCTGCAATAGGGACTTAACTTCCACCTCTGCAGGGTCAACAAAGGGCAATAGCAATACTCTGTGTATTTTGGAAGTCTCTTGTACAGCTCTGGACAACAACTCAAAAGAGAGATTCTCATGTCTGGTGTTGGGGTTTTTGTTAGGTGGTCTTGGCTCTTGGAGAAAGCATTGTCAACCCAAATGAAAAATTTTCATTTAAACTATATGTGTACATTTATACACAGAATTATGTGTATTATAGATTTTTGAGATAAATAGTTATTAGCATGATTCCAATGACATTTTAGACATCGTTGCTATTGTGTCTATCCTTTTGTATTTAACTTCCTCCATCTTCCTAAAGAGCCCTTCTTTTCCATTTCCCCGTAAGATCAACTGTATCTTGACATCCCCCTTTATTGCTCCCCAACTCCCATCATTACAGTGGTCCCATTTTACATTCCTGACTTCTGCAGTTACTCCAGGCTGTGTGCTCACATCTGAAGATTTGGAGCTAGAAGCCTCTGATAAGAGAGCATGCAATGTTATTTTTTTTTGGGGGGGCGGGCAGGGGTCTGGGTTACCTCACTAAATACGATCTTCCCTAGTTCCATCTATTTACCTGCAAAGTTCATGATTTCATTTTTAAAAAGCTGAATACTATTCAGCTTTTTATGTATATGCACCACATTTTCATTATCCATTTGCAGGTTGAAGAACATTCAGGTTGTTTCCATTTCCTGGCTGTTGTGAATAGACTAGCAATGAACACAGCTGAACTGTGGAGTAGGGTGTTGTGTCCTTTAGGCATATGCCAAGGAGTGGCTTACTTTTCACTTTTTGAGAATTCTTCACACTAAATTTCATGGTGACGCCATCAGTTTGTAACTCCACCAATAGTGAATGAGGATTCCCTTCCCCCACATCCCTTTCAGCATTTGTTGTCTGCTATTTTGCTGATCTTTGCCATTCTGACTGGGATAAGAAGAAATACCAAAGTTGTTTTGCTAGGGATGATGAAAACTTTTTGAGATATTTTTTAGCCATTTTCCCTTCTTTTGAGAACTCTTTGCTTAGGTCCCAGGTTATTTAGATTTATTTGACTCTTTGGATTTTTTTTAAACTCTTGTTTCTTTATGTATTTTGTATGTTAATCTTCTATGAGACGCATAGCTAGCAAAGATTCTCTGCTGTTGGGATTTTTTTTTCTGTATGCTGTGAATATGTGTTGCTCCCATTGGCTAATAAATAAAGCTGCATTGGCCTATGGCAGGACAGGATGGAGCCAGGAGGGAAAATCCAAGAGAGGTAGTGAGAGAAGAAAGGAGAGCGGGACAAGATGCCAACCCATGGTCCAAAAAACTATGTAATGGGACACAGGCAAAGCCATGGAACATATGGCGATACATAGATTAATAGTTATGGGTTGAGTTAAGTTATACAAGCTAGCTAGCAAGAAGCCTGAGTCATAGGACATACAGTTTATAATTAATATTAAGCCTCTGAGTGATTATTTTATAAGCAGCTGCAGGTCCGTGGGGCCTGGTGGGACTGGAGAAACTTCCGGCTACAATCTCTCCCATTTGTGGGCTTCCTCCTCACCAGGTTGACTGTTTCTTTAGCTCCTCGGAAATCTTCCCACTTGTCAGTTGTTGGACTTAGTTCTTGGACAAATGGAGTCCTATTTAGAAAGTTTTGTCCTATATCATATAGGGTGCTGCCTATGTTTTCTCCTATTGCTTTCAGTGTTTCAGTTTTTACTTTTGGGTTGTTGACCCATTTGGGGTTAGTTTTGTGCACGGTGATAGATACAGATCTAGTTTCACTCTTCTGCATGTGGACACCCAGTTTTCCCAACAATGTTTGTTGAAGATGCTTTCTTTTTATCTACCGTATATATTTTGTATCTTTGTCGAATTAGAGGCTGGAGTTATATGTACTCATGTTTGGGTCTTGGATTTTGTTCCATTGGTCTACATATCTGTTTTTGTGCCAGTCCCATATTGTTCTTATTACTATGGCTCTGTAATATCTTAAGATCTGGACTTGCAATCTCTCTGGCACTGTTCTTTTTGTTCAGGATTGATTTAGCTATCTGGGGACTTTGTGGTTCTATATGAATTTTAGGACAGTTTTTTTTCTTTCTATTTCTATGAAGAATGAGATGGAGATTTCACTTAGGACTGCATTGAATCTGTAATAGATTTTGGTAAAAATGGTCATTTTTCACTATATTAATTCTACCAATCTATGAGCCTGGGATATTATGCTGGCTAGTTTTATGTCAACTTGACATAAGCTGGAGTTACCTGAAATGTGTTCCACATTTTCAGTATGTGCTTTTTTGTGTGTTTTAAAATTTTTTATATGTGTTTTGCTTATTTGATCTAGATACTTGATTTTTGAGTCCTTGTATTCTATTGTCGGCTTGGTTTGTCCTATTTGCAAGCTTTCTTTCCTTCAGGTTTTCCAGTTGAGTTATTGGGGTTTTCAATCACATTTTCTTTTCAGCTCGAGTCCTCTTCAATGTTTCTATCTCCTTATTGAATTCTGTCCTCAAGTCCTGGGGTGTCTTCATCATTTCCATCAACCTTACATTTGTGTTTCCTTGGAAACACTTGGGTATTTATTCTTCTTAACTTCATTGAGCTGTTTGTGTCTTCTTTAAACTCATTGAATTTTTACATGAAGCATATGATTATTCTTTTAAATTCTATTTCCTGGGCTGCATCTAGGTAATTCTCATGGGCAAACATGTCTACAGAGCTGGTAGGTTTTGGAAAGAATATACTGGTTTGATCTTTCATATTGTTGGTATTTTTGTCATGAGATCTCAGCATGTGGACTTCTTTTGTTAGTTCTGAGTCTGTTATGGACAGAGAAGGCTTTGGCAGGGGAGAGGGTGTGTGGGTGATTTGGGCCTAGAAGTTGGAAATGGCTTGCTTGGAAAGAAGTTAGGTGAGCAGAGGGGGCTGGGTTGGTGTGCAGGGTGTGTTTCCTGTCCAAGTCTGGAGTATTGGGTAGATCTGGCTGGGTGGAAAGACTGGATAAGGTGAGGGAGAGTTCTGTGGGTTGGGAGATAGGTAGGGAGTGTCCCAGACACAGTCTAAAGGTCATTTGTGGTATTGGTAGGGGAAGCCAGTTTAGGTCATGGCATTGTGGTTGGGCTCCAGGCTAGACCTGACATGTTGGGGAGAAGTTATACATGGAGATGTCATGGAGACTTACTAGGCTAGACTCTGGAGGAAGCTGTGAAAAGTTTGGGTGGGTGGTGTGGTTGGAAGTGTAGCAGAAGGGACCTGTTGATAGTTGCAGGTAGGGTGAGTCCTGGTTGACTTAGAAGTTGGCTGCAGTAAAGGTGGGGATGGTCAAATTAGGCTAGGAAATACAATGTGGGAGCAAGGCTAATTCTTGCTGATTGTAAGAATGTGTGGATCGAGAGGTCAGGGAGATTCACCACGTCAGACCCTGGAGGAGGACATGAGAAGTCTGGCTCTTCTTTTACTTTTGAGTTTGCTGTCTTAAACTCTTCTTAGTTACAGATTTTTCCTCTAAACATGAAGCCATCACTGTATCACACAACAACGAGCCTGCTTTCAATGGTAATGTTGATTTTCTTTCATGCCATACTCCCCCTCACCATTCTCTCTTAGAATTGCTGTCCTGTGAGAGGACAAAGAAACAGTCCAGGTCACATCATCTGAAGACATCCTGGTTAGGTATTCTAGACCATGGTCCCTGCTAAGGTCTTAGCTGGCAGCCAGCATCATGGGAGTGACAAGTCCTCAAATGATGGCAATTCCCAGCTTTCTAGTCACCTAGTTGCCACTGCCTTGTTCAGACCCATCCATGCTGAAGAAGTGCAAGCAAACTAAATGCATTCATTATTTTAATTTTCTTATATTATTTGTTACTGAATCATGAGAACTAGAACCGCATGGATCCACTGTAGAAAGAGGAACTTTACAGACTGCTGAACAATGCCCATTTAGTACCAGTGTTACCAGATACTTCAGATAGAAATATGAGCAATCCATTTAGGTGACTTTTGGACATAGCCCAGGTCTGACCTTTGCACCCCTGCAGGTAGGCTGAATGTTATCCTGTTTCTTAGTTCTGAAAATGGAATCATCTCCTCGTTCACCAAGTGCCTGGACCTATGTTTGACTAGCTATTATGATCAAGGATCTGTTTAAATTATGAGCCCTTTCATTTCTAACAATACAGGTAGTTATAACTGCCATGTCCTGTGTAGTGTGTGGAAAATGTATGCAAAATAATTATAGCCAGCAAATTAACTTTGTAATAATAAGAATTGTTAGCCTTATTTAAGAAACAGGAAGTAAGGCTCAGAGAAGGTGGTCCGTTACTCAAGATTACATAAGCAGGCGTGAGCTGTGCGTCCTGGAGCCGCACTGTATCCTATTTTGAACCCAGTCATCTGGATGGATATTGTGAGCCTCTTCACAGGCACCCTTGATGGCATACCTCCCTGCTCTGTCGACTGCCTTAGCTGTCTGTCACTCCCCCTGTCACCGCTTGCTGGACCTTCCTCTGGGCATCTGCATGCCCAGGTGCTGCTGCAGGTCCTCACTGCACCAGCTCTGATCTATCCCTAGCTTCAGTTACACGGGACTGAACACCAAGTCATATCTTTGTAGGAAAATGAGCCCAGGCTCAGTCGCCCACCATCCACGAGCATGGAGCCTCGAACGGTAAATGAGCAGCAGTGGCCGCAAACCATTGCAAATTCAGAAAGCAAAGGGCACCATGTTTGTCTGATACATGGATCAAACAAATTTCCTTCTTCCAGGGAAGAATTTGTAATATGGAAATAAAGGAACCCATCTGAATATGGCTATATTAAAATAAAGAGCAAAACAGTAAAACATTGGAAAGCATTAGAGAGCTCTGTTTTTTTTTGTTTTTTGTTTTTAAAGGGTGGCCCAAAGCCAGTGGAGTGATATACTCAAGTTGCTGAAAGAAAAAGGCTGTCGGCCACAGATTCTACATCAAACAAAACTGTCCTTCAAAAATAAAGATGAAATAAAGATGTTCCCAGAGAAACAGAAACGGAGAGGATGTGTTGCTTTAGAGACAGTGCTGAAGCGAGATCGCTACTTCAACTGAGATGCTCCAGCAGATGGTGACTCATCTATAGGAAGAAATGAAAAGGAACCAACTGTAAAACATGTTATTAAAAACAAGGCACCGGAGGTTTATATGTTTTTATTTTTGCCCCTTAATTTTTCAAAAAGCATGTTTGTTAATGGCACCATATTATTGTGTGTATAGTATATGAAATATATAATGTGTAACATGGTATATTATGTGTGTTGTATGAAATCTTACCTTTTCTATGATTATGTAAGATACTTAAGTAAACATGATCTATAATGAAGGATACATATAGCTATAATAATATCAATGTTGGAGAATGGAGTTACATTGGAATCAAGTTGCTGTATTCTTCTGAAGTTAAGTCAGTGTTGAACTGAAGTTAATTATGATAAAGTAAATATTCACATTGTGATTCCTACAGAAGCCTGTGAGAAAATAACTTTAAATATGTAACTAAAAAAATCAACGGAAGGACTAAAATTAAACACTAAAACACATTTATTTATTTAAAACAAAAAAGACAGTAAAAGGAACAGAGGAAAGACAGACATGAGTCATGGAAGCAATAGCATTTCAATAATAGTGTTAAGTATGAATTGAATGAAAACTCATGTCGGTAGCAACACAGCATTGAGTTAACATGCCTTCATTTGCAAACATTCTCCTGGTGCCAAGAGTAAGGTTATTTAGGATTTGCTACTACTATAAACAAGAGCACAGTGAACATAGTTGTACATAATTATTATTGTTTTTTTGCTTTAAGGAAATTTCATAGGGTGGAATTGGATTGCGTCAGAACTCTACACTTTGGTACGTGTTGATGGCCCACTCTCCTGAATTGTGCAAGAACACTCATGAGAAGACCTGTCAGAAATGCTGAGGCTGTCGAAGTGTGCAGGGATCAGCTGAGGTTATTTAACCAGGTTATTTGTCTCATTGTTCCTGAGGTAAGCATTTCTATCTTCATGCTTCTCTTCCATGAAGACTGGTTACCACAACCGCTGGACAGAATGGACGCACATGCTCATTATTTTCATGGACAGAAGTGACTAGACGCCAACATCTGCCAGTTTTCCCATATAAAAACCACATCAGCTCATGAAATTAGCTTCATTTGGAAAGCCTTTTGAAAGAGGTGATAGCTAAGAGATGGATTTGAAGAAAGCTGTCCATAAGTGTCCTAAAATGTCCTTCAGGATTCAGCTCAGCTCTTAGGCCTGCAAGACTCCTTCAGAGATTCCCATGGCCCCCTGCTGCTTCTGTGGGCCCTGAGGCTCTGAGTTAGGAGGAACTGTCTGAGGCAGGACAGCCTGAGGTGGAAGGCTTAGCTGTGCTGGAAAGAATTGATTAGCCAGGGAAGAAGATTAAAAATAACATGATGCTAATGCTCCCATTACCAGACTTGCTGTTCCACACAGAGTCAGAAATAGACTGAAACTCAGGTCATATGAGGAGCGCCGAGTTCCCTCAAGGAAAGCAGTGGGAGAGAGGACTCCCTTCATGCTTAGGAGCTACAGCATCCTTTCCCTGCAGATCCTAACCACTGGGCCAACACGTTCTAGGAAGTGCGCTAATGCTGAGTCAGACCTCAGGGAAAGGCACCCAGGGTAGCAGGAGCCTCAAGCTCTGACCATGACCTCAGGACCAGCTCCCCATCACCTACTGCATCTAACCCATCTAACACTTCTACTATAGATAATCCAGGAATGAAATTTACCTAATAAAATAAATAAATAAATAAATAAAAAATCAAGTTAGATTTTGTCGATGAAAATTGAACGTTTTTCATTAAAAAAAAATCACAGGAGGTTTTTAAATAAACAATAATTGAAAGCCACTAGTTACAAGGGCTTTTGATAACCAGTGGTGATACAGAGCTAGAACATGCAGCATGCCCTGTCCTTGAGTGATATCTAAGTCTGTTCCTGCTGCTATAACAAATTACCTTAGTCTGGATAATTTAGGAACAAGAGTTTATTCTCACAATTCTAGAGGCTGGGAAGTCCGATAGGAAGGTGCTGGCAGATCTGGTGTCATGTTATATTATATCTCTTGCTGCACCTTTACACGGTACACGGACCAGGAAACTCTGAATTTCTCCCCACTGGCCCCCCATGTGTGTACATATTTTGGATATCAAACCCAGGGCTTCACACATGCTAAGCAAGTGGTCTATCACTGCGCTCTATGCAGCCAGAAATCTCTTGTAATGGCATTAATTTCCACTGGAGAGGGCAGAAGCCTGTCACTGTCACAGTGAGGATTTGTATTTCACATAGACACGAGCATTCCAATCAGAGCAAATGGCTCATTCCAGCTTTTAGCTTCCTTCAGATGCAGAGGACCTATGTGTCTTTGGAGGAGTCACAGTGGCTGCTTTCTTCTTCTCCCAAGCAGTGGGAGTGTTAGTGAAGATACAGGCATGGGGACCAGGCACATGGACGTTCAAATGACAACAGCCAGCTCACACGTATGGCCAGACTGTGCAGCTGAGGGGCTGGCCCGGGCTTTCCACTGGCTCAAGCCCAGCCCTTGGGATTGTCTTTCCTGGGGCAGGTTTCTGTGGGCAGCCAGAGGCACTTTCCCAAGAGGACTCAGGATAAGGAGGGATGGAAAGAAGCCGAAGTCTGTACCAACAGTGTCTGTCACTATCTCTAGAAGACATACTCACCTAATCCAGAGAGCTTTGCTGTGGTGTCACCTGCCAGTCAGGGCTCCTCTGCTGTGAAGAGTGGGAGAAAAGAGTGTGGGAAGAGGCTGGAGGAGCTCTAGTTGTGTCTCCATGCACACACACAGGAGTGGAGCATGCTCCCCTAAGCATGGGCTTGGTTTTCTTCTTCTGGCTCTTGTCATTTTTTCCCTTTTTGCCTCCTCTCCCAGTGGTTGGCAGTAACTACATACAAAGATAAATGGGAAAAAAAATAAGTTTGGTCTAGTCTGGACTGTGCCTGGGGAGTACATGGGTCTTGACTTTCCCTGGAGCCTGAGTCTGGAAGGCCCGGGGTCTGGCTTTGTTCTTGCAGTCAGGAAAGGGCCCTAGGCCTGAGACCAGAATTGGGCTTGGGATAGAAGCAGTTTGCAGGAAGTGCTTCACAAGGCTGTTTCCAAGGATGAACAGACCGTCTCCATGAGGAGGAACAAAAGGAGGCATTCTTTGTCTGGCTTCAGTTCCAGAAAAGCTGTCTTTCTCCTGAGCAATTGGTTTGTCTCTATCGTGTGTGTGTGTGTGTGTGTGTGTGTGTGTGTGTGTGTGTGTGTGTGTGTGTGTGTGTGTGTGTGTGTGTGTGCGTGCAGGCACACACTCTCCAGGGTGTGGTTAATTAAAAGCTGGCTTCTCGAACGCTTAGAGGCAGATGTGTGCCTGCTCGCGTGCAGCGTCTTGGAGTGCTCTCTCCCTGTTATTAGACTTCCCTTTTCCCACAGACATTTTACTTCTTTGTTCTTCTCGTGTCCTTGTTAGGGGCTGCACGCTCTTCTCAGAGCCAAGCAGGATATAAATATACAAATAAATATAGTACACACCTGACTCACGGAGCCCGTGGCTCCACGTCACGCTCTACTACCTCTTGGCTTTTTTGTTCAATCAGAGCCGCAACAGAGTCTGTCCTCGCACTGTGTTGGCGCCGGTCCCTTTAGTCAGGACATCTTGTCATCATTGGCTTCTCTTTCAAAGCTTCGGCGCTTTCCGAGCCTTTCCCTGCCTGACAGCCATCTCCCGTGCCCCACATTTCTGATGCCCACCTCTCCTCTCTCTGAGTTTGTTCTTCTGTGATCCGGGGTCCCCGAACCCTGCAAGCTTTAACTCATATTTATGGACACCATGTCTAGCCGGCTGCCAGCCTTATACGCTGCTTTCGAGCCCACGGAGGTAACGTGGCATGCTATTTGGGGGGCATTTGGATCTGGGATGGTGGAGTTGCCTGTCAACCCACCTATCCATGTACCCTCTCCCCCTTCACATACGTTCTCACGCATTCACTCAGCATCTGCTGTCATGGGGATGTTAAATGTGATCGTGTCAGGAAATGCGTGCGTAGGGTATGGCCTGGAAGCACTGAGAGGACAGTGACTATCACTGCTGTGTGCTGGGTCTCACATGCGAAGGTAGCCCTTCTTAGAACTCTCTCCTGGCGGGATATTCTAGGTTGTCTCTTTTTCCATCTGTTCATCCATTGAACAGTTTTCATTTGCATTTTGTTTTCTAGAAATTGGCTTCCATTTCTCATTCATGGATGAATCCACATTTCTGTCCTCTCTCTTGATGTGGCTCATTTCTCTTTACATTTGAAAAGCAGTAACCACAGAGTCAAGGGAGTAGCTCAGTCAGTAAGGGTGCTTACCACCAAGGGTGATGCTCTGAGTTGGATCCCTACAAGGTGGAAGGAGAGAACTGATTCCCCCAGGTGTCCTCTGACTGCCACACACACATATTAAATAAACAAACGAACCAATAAATGTTGATATTTTTCTTTTGAAAATGAATGGTAGCTTCATAACTTGCACAGTAGATGGACCAAATCAAATCCACAACAGGAAACCTAAGCTAAGCTCCGGATACTTTAGTACCAGCTGCTGCAGCAGCAAGCCTCTGTGCACTCTTACGCCCCTGAGTCCACAGCCCATCGCACTAGCTACCTCCTTTACAGATCCACCTCCCTTTCTCCCAGCATGCTCTCTAAGTGCCCCTCGGCACTCAGCTCCCTCCTTGCTCTGCCAGTTACGACCCAGAGCTGGTGGTTTCCGGAAAGGGGAACGCCATATTCACATTTTGGTGGAGAGAGGGCTCTGTATGCACAGCAGGCGGATATGCTTGCCTGTTTCACCGCTGTGAGTCCGGAATCTCTGCCAATGTTTTCAGCTGACAGGGTAGCATGATAGACAAGACGAAAACCTCCACACATGTCCAGTGACCGTGCCTCTCAGGCAAGATGAGCAGAATGAATTCTCTGGAGGCAGCAGGTAGAGTAGAACTTCAAAGAGACAGCATGAGGTGTCCTCACACAAACCCAACTTTGCTTCTTTTTTTTTCTTTGAGGGGGGCAGAGGTTTGCCTCTTTCCACTCTCTGTACTCAGCCTTGTGCTAGATGCTAGCAAACTAGAGAATCTTTAGCAGAGGCCAAGAATTTAGCGACAGCTGCCTGGGCAGCGGCATTTTCCAGGAAGTGGCTGTAGTTTTCCATACAGTGAGGAGCGCGAGGCAGGGGAATGTGGGGGCGGTCTGCTTCAAGTTCACTTGTCAGGGTCACAAATGAGCTTGTGTTGCATCAGTGATTATGCTGGGTGTGTGAGCTCTCAGTAGGTCTGCGTGCTGTCGGTTCAGTGACTGGGAACATGCTTTGAATGCCCGATATGAAAGGAGCAGCTGTTTACCGTACACTCAGGCTAGTCATCACCAGACAACTTGAGGAGGGTGAATCCCATCCACACGAATCTTCCTTTGCAGCCCGACGGTTCGAGGAAGACTCCTGCCCCTTCTGTGAGGGCCATGCTGAGGGCTGGAGCTCACTCACTGACACATGAGGAAGAGTTAGCTGCCCTTCACCATCCTGCTGCAGGAGCCCAAGGCTGTAATTGTAAGGCCCAGTGATCAGGCAGAAACCAGAGTTGTTTCTATAGTTATGAACATAGCTGTAAACAGGGCCCGTGTTCAGCTGCTAGGCAATGAGTGGCAGGGGCACTTGTAGACTCGGTGGCTCTATACTGGTTAGGAAGTAGTTACTTCCCTAATCTTTTAGTATCCCCTGCCTTGGCTCCCCAGCACCTCCTGGACCTCTGGGCACTGGACAACAAAGCCAACCTGTCACTGTATAGTCTACTGAGACAGAGTGCTAAGCACTGCCTTACTGGTTCTTGTCTGTGAAGACCACCACCAGGGTTTTGAATATTTTTTGACTCACTGGGAGATAATAAGGATTGAAACTTAAATAACAGAGCCCTAGCTAATGG